CTGGCGGCGCGCTGCAGCGCCAGCGCCCGCTCGGCGGCGGCGCCGGCGACGCGCGCGCCCTCCAGCTCGTTGCGGCAGTTGCGCCAGCCTGCAACGCGACACCCGTCAGCCCGTCCGCGACCCCTTCGGGGTCCGCCTCCGTTCGCGCGGCCTCACCGACGCTCATCTCCGACGCCCGGTCCTCCGCCGCGCAGACGTCGTTCTCCAGGGCGAATTTCTCCTGTAAATGTAGACCGCCGCTGACGTCTTCGTTCGCTATTTCACATTTTGTAACGATCAAATCGACCCGCGACGCTAAACTAGAATGAGGCAATTTCTCACTCGTTCCAGCACGGTCCGTTCCAGTTCCTTGTCCTTCACCAGCTGCTTGAGACGATCGAGCTCGCGCATGGCCAGACGCACTTTGTTGTTGTCAGATTCCAGTAAAGACTTCAACGCTGCCACTTGTATGCGAAGCCGTTCCGAACACGACACCTACGACGATATCGTGACCGTTAGTAAAAGAACGTCGAATCGTGACAAGGTGACAACATACCTCCTATTCAAAATTAATACAATCCTAAAAAAAAGTATCGACACGACACGAAGAAAAGACTTTTCTAATTACGCTTTCGAACGTACCTGAAATTCTAGAGTCTTGCGAAGACAGCGCACCTCGTCGCGCCGCCGCCTCCAAGCCGCGATCACCATGAACCGACAAACCTTCGCCGCCGCGCTCTCTTCAGCCACACTGCGTAGCGCAGGCGACCTTGCCACTGCCAGTTCGTCGTTCCTAAACAGATCACATTAACTCTCCTTACTTCAAAGATCTATTGATTAAAGACAACATAAAAGAGATTAATCAAACGTATTACTTTGCCTTTACAATATTTTCTATAAAAAAAATATAGAACTCTTCGAAATTGTCAAAATACAGATGCTAATTACATTAGTTACCACGTCATAATACGTACGTTATAATTTTGTAAGTCAATGGTTATAATTGTAAATAATAATGACTGAGTAACCAATAGTATAATAGTAACCCATTTCGTCGAATCCTCTTTGTAGGCGTAAGATCCTCCATAGAGACAGCCTTTGGGCCAATCTTTACTGCTCTTGTTGGCGTCTGGTTCTCGTACTCGGTGAGGCAGCTGCGGATTCTCGCGAGGTTGGGACTGGGCGGTCCCGCCTTGGCCGTGAACTTGCTAACTGTGACTGGTGCCGAAAATAGTTGCTTCTTCGGATGTGCAGGTTGCACGCGGCTTAAATAGTAATAGTAATAATAACGCACACACTCAACATAGCCCCGCACTAGGGAAACCCTGTGTCGCGGGTGCCATGGACACAAACATAGACAACCACAAATTACACCCAAACTCACGAGAGAAATAAATGTAGGCCATACAAATATTTCTCTTGGCCCGGGAATCGAACCTGGGACCTCTGCGTGGCAGTCCGGCATGGTAACCGTTGGGCCACGGAGGCAGTTAATAAATGTGAACACAATTATTTGGGACACTGGAAACGAAAGAATCTAAACACGGTTTTTGAATGATCCAAACCCGCCCCTTAGAAAGAGACCCCTATTCAACAGTATGTAGGACGTGACCCGGGTCATCATCATCATCAAACAGCCTCTGCTCCATCTGTCTTCGGATATAGGTCTCCTCCATATCTCTCGAGAGATATGGAGGGTCGGGTAGTCTATTTTAAATTATGGATTTTCGTTAAGAATTTGTAAATTATAATGTTAACTATAGACACATTTATTTATTAATGGAAAACCAACAGCTTCAACCATTTAATAAAAACAGAAAGAATCAAACACAAATGAACAATAAACACTATTTGTTAACAAAATGCACTATTATACATAAATATAACAACCCAATACCTGCGCCAACAGTCACAAATTATTCAATAAAATTAAATAAAATGTCCATCAGTTTACGCTTTAGCGCATGAGCAATACATTTAAATATATGAACACTCAGGTCATGATTGACCAGCACACTAACCAAACTCTTGCTAGCGGCTAGCTCTAAATTGAAAACTGTTTTGTCTATAATTAAGACTCGCTAAAGGAATTGAAATAGGGTGATAGTGTCTCATAGAACGCGTAGGTATGTTAAACGAAATATCACTCAATAGTTCAAGGCAGTCATCATTATCGTTTATGATGTTAAGATTTACACTAGGCATATTAAAGATTTTGCGGCAAATATTTAGAGGTAATGGATTCAGATCCCTACAGAGACGTAGGTAGAGTCAAATGAATTATAAAACGAATTTATATTGTTACGCAATCAAGGAAAGTCTTTGTTTGGATATGTTTTGCAATTTGCAAAAAAAGAAACGATAGGGGCTATGTAAATAAATAAATAGACATAATTTTTTTTATACGAAGTGACGTTACGAACAAGTCGTACCCATGGTAAAGCGACACGCCTGTCCATAACAGTTGCATTGCCACTCTGAGCTTTAAATTGCAAAGATCATAAAGGCACTGGCACTGCGGCATCCGGTGAGCGTGAGACATAAGTTGACAAGTCCCGTGTACCTGTAATTATACCAACACCCTTAGCCATCCAAAACGGCGGCAAATAGATAAGGTGGCAGTACTTCCCTACACATTTAGAAATTATTTCACAAGGAGCTCTACTGCTACCTTCTTTTATATGTACAGAAGTCCCAAGGCATATTGATTGACAGTCGCACTTTCATCTCCAAGTTGGAGTCTATGGTGATGCCCAATTTAGTTCCGAATAACACCATAATTCCTTTTACCTCTTCAGTAAAAAATTTGGGCATCCTAATGGATCAGACACTCTCTTGGTCGAAGCAAGTCGCCGATGAAAGTCTAACATTTTTCCACCGCTTCATTCCCTCAAAGAGCTGCAGTACTTTCTTCCTCTGTCTAGCAAATTTATGCTTAGACGCACTCTTCTTCCTCTTTTGGACTATAACGAAATAGCCCCGTCGGAGCGGCTGCAAAATCAGTGTTCATATCATCATATTCGAGTTCGGCTTGAAAAAGTACGACCACATTTTCATGTTTAGAGATAAGTAAAGTTGTAGAATTGCTCACGTTTTATGCTTCCTCTATAAAATCTTTTTCCAACCTTCTTCCCCTAGTTACATTTATGAGCGTTTCCAATATCGTCAGGCCATGAGTGACCACCTGCTTTCCGGTACCAATTTGTTCCTTGTACGTACTTCCGCAATACAGTTGGGACTCGTTCACAGTGAATTATACTCGTGTGGCAAGGGAACCTTCTCCCGGTACAGGTCAAACAGCCACCTTCGGTTCGGGCTTTCATAGATGTCCTTTTGAAGACTTCTTCAAACTCCTCATGTTAGAGCTTACAAAATATTTATTTATGCATGATATATTTATTTATAGTTTTATATTATATATTCATTTTACTATATATTTTACATAATAATAATAATAATAACAACGCACACACTCAACATAGCCCCGCACTAGGGAAACCCTGTGTCGCGGGTGCCATGGACACACACATAGACAACCACAAATTACACCCAAACTCACGAGAGAAATAAATGTAGTTCATACAAATATTTCGCCCGGCCCGGGAATCGAACCTGGGACCTCTGCGTGCCAGTCCGGCATGGTAACCGTTCGGCCACGGAGGCAGTTACATGTAAGTAATAAATAGTCTTATAAACGTATGTATTCGTATGTACATTTGATTTTATTCAATGTAATTGTGTAATTCTTGAGTAAAGCATTAAATTTGTTTAGTTTTTTATTGCCAACCCTGGAACTAACTTTTCCTTTAAAAGTGTTTGATGATATTTATAATTTGTTTTGTGCTACAATGAAGTGTTTACATACATAGATACATTAATTTAACCTATAGATAGTAACTGGCTCTATTCCTCAGATGAGCACATATTATAGGTATTCATTAAAATGACAATATTGCCTTCAGCCAATGATAACAGGTTGGTCCGCTGAGGGATCAACTTTGATAGAGGTTAATATATAAACTTGAACACACTCCGCAATAACCAGTTGACCGAAGCTCATCACAACGTTATATGAGTCTGTAACGCGCTCGAGTGTATGGACTGCCGTTTAGTTGCGGGAAAATAAGAGGAAGTCACTTCAGTGTATAGTGTCAGTTGTATCACACGTGTTATCTCGGATTAGGTCATTTTTATATGTTAAATATCAATTGCAAATTGTGATTTTCGATTGCAATAAGTAAATTATTAGTACCTATATACGTGCGCTGGCGCGTTTAGTGTTCCTTGTTGTTGAATTCGAAGTGCACTATTAAGGATTGTTTACCAACATACTTGGGAGATTACAGAGTTTTACGTAAGTGTACTTTATTTCTGATTAATTTACTTTCTTGAATATTGATTGTTCGTTTATATTCTTAAATAGTACGTCTTGGTCATTGACCTACGAAAAATTTTATTGGTAGGTCAATGGTCTAGGTACTTCTTTTGTTTCTTTTGTTACTGGTGAGATTCTCAGCACAAAATTGGTTTCAGTGCTCGAGATATTGTTGATTACATGTAATTTTATTTTCTAATCTTTATTACACTATTAAATGCTCCAGTTGAAACTTTGCAAGATAATATAGAAATCACAGTTTTCTTGTCAACGTTTATCATTCACATACTTCCTACTACGTTGAACAAAACAATTGTTGAATATGTTAGTGCTTATTTTCTCTTTTGACGCTGCTGCTGAGCTGGCTGGTCGACTGACACATGGTGGGATGAAGTTCTGTTTTAACCGATAGTCGTAAACGACTTGACTATACTAGTCTAACGAAGAAAGTCCTCGACCCGGCTTCATAGCCATTTTCTTCAACGCTCTTAGCTAATTTATCTAGGTACATTTATAACTTTTGTAACTGTAGTTCAGTATACAATGTTTGCATTACCCCTAACGAGTGACCATTGCCCTTAAAGAGCCCGAAAACGGTGGTTAGTTTGAAAAACAAATATACGGTCCGAAAAAAATGGTTTTATTTCCAATTTGCATTGTATTTTATGATTTGTACTGCGTTCCACTGCTAGGCACATACCTCCTCTTGGTTTTGCAATTGACTTCGGATATTTAAATAGTTTTGAAAGTAGGTATGCTTGTATTGATTAGGTTAGGTACCTACTTATAACACACCTAAAGTGTTACTCAATGTCACGTAAGAAAGTATATGTAGCTGTAGCCTAATTTCGATGGTTTCATGAATAACAGCTTTGTTACGTCACCAATACATTGAGCGAAATGTGTGAAAAAAAAAAGTGAATCCTTACGCAGGCGGTGTGGTCTGCAGATTGTACCTCTCGCGCGACAGCTCACGTTCGGAAATGTCGCCCGCGCCGGACCGCGCCACTGGCGGCGAAGAATTCGCCGGCATCTTCGGTAAGTCTTGCATTTTCTTACAAATAATGTCCACTACTGCCTTCCTTCCCAACAAATATAGATAGCACTTAAATAAATAATACGCAGTTTAAAAATTTAAAAAGTCTACGAATCACGGCTGTGACAATTCGAAATCTGACGTCACGGTTCGATTTTGTTTTTAGAATTTTTTCGTTTTTCTCTTCATGCTGTAATTTTTTCGAAGGAGGTTTTGCGACGGGATGTTATTATATATTTATTACTAGAAACCTCTAGATGCATATAAATATAATTATTATTGAAGTTTAGGAAAATCGAGCGATTTGATAATATGTTACGTAGATATAAATAATAAATAATTATGTAATTGGCGGGGTTATTGATAATGATGCAAAACAAAACAAAAATGGATAACCGACCCTGAGTCAGACTCTACCTTCTATGTGCATGCTTATCTATAAATTAAATGTTTTAATAACAGGATAACAATATTTTTTGTTACGCTTGCTGTACAAAAATAATTTCTACTTACCTGTTAAACTTACCAGTGCTAAGTTTAAATTTAAAACAATAATGAACTAACTAGACACACAAAAAATCCCACAAATTTCCCATCTTTGCGGAAAAAATTATTCCTTTAAAAAACAAATTGAAATTATTAGCTTTCGGTGTATGATGTGCACGAGAGGTTCCCTACAAAAAGTACATCAATTACTGTATAAACTAGTTATCCGTATATACATATCATTACGACACGATCAGGTATGCAAAGCGTAGGGGCTTGACGTGTGGCGTGAGGCGACTGTTGTCGGTGCTGGGGCGCCAATATGGGGCGCCAGCCTGTGTGTCGCCGGTAGCGCCCTCGCTTCGATTTCAGGAGCGCAGCGGTGACGATGCGTCATAGCCCCCTGACAAACCCTTCATTCTAAAATTAAAAGCCTATACATTTTTTTTTAAAGACAATAGTAGGTCTTATACATAACTCAATAAACCTTAGGAAAGTAAAGATCAACTTTGTTTTAATTTTTTATTTATCTTCGAAAACTATACACATAGTTGTAGAATAGAGATTGCGAGGCACTTATATAATTATTCTTATTTATAAAAGTATTTAGAAGGTTATCATATTGGGATTTAGCAGAAAAAACCACACTAGTGGATTAATGATGCACTGCGGCCTATTACGTTATGTCTACTTCCAGTTTGTCAACTGATTTAAAAACAATATGCAAAGGATAAATTTATAAATCGATCTAAACAAAAAGCACAAAATATAATTGGATAGGTACTTATTACCAATACAACTACATGGTACACTTATACACTGTATATTGATAGCAATAACTTGTTACACTAAAAAGGGGGTGTGCTAGGCGCCAATATTCTGTACGTAGGATTCAAATTATAGATTTGAAGTTGAAGGTGGGCAAGGTAGGCACGAGTTGTGGCGCCTCACGCAAGTTCGCGGCAATGGCATTGGCGGCAGACGGGCCGGTAGCAGTAGGCGCTCCACGTGGCCGCGACTTCGCGTCGCCGCCATGCCGCGCCGGCTGAATCATTGAAACAATAGCTAATTGTACTTAAAAGAAAATTTGTAATTACGATGATGTTTGTAATTGACAATTAGGTGACTGATTTTTTACGCGCCAAGGATAAAATATGTGAATTCGTGCCTGTAGAATATAAACTATAGGTTACGATTATTTGATCGATTTTCCTGGTTTAGGTGCAAATGTTATAACATTGTCAAGGATATGTTTGGCATATCGTACCTCCGGTAAAACACAGACTTAACTGCAAAAAATTATGATACCAAACCATTTTTAAAGTGCAATTTATACGGAAAAACAGAGACTCATTATGTATTCCTTCATTTTTCTATAGAGGGCGTAATGCGTATTGAAATAGTATAATATTAAACTAAATACAAAACTTTTCATTATTTTTTTGTAAATTTTACTAATGTAAGGTGGCTCCTATTTCACCGGAGGTGCGATATGTAGGAAGGTACTTTTAATGTACCCTAAAGTATCGAACTAGTCATATAACATCATTGATTACCAAAATTATGTACTTATTTTATTAGTAAGTAGGTATGAAAGAGTATAACATTTAGTGAAAGTACGTATAAAAATTGTCAAGCCCAAAAGATTGTCTCTAAGATGACTAAATTCTGTAGAGACAGCACGAGTGTAGATATAGATAGGAAGTATGCATCTCGTGTTGAATGAATGCGTATTACAGAGTGAGTCACCCTCCCCCAAAATCTACTTACTGAAATATTCCGAAACCTCCCACGCGCTTTGCTCTACTAAATTAAGGTTTCCGAGCGACCCCTATGATTCATCCTTTACGGACCTTTCCTATATTCCCACTTTACGAGCCTACTAGTAAATAAATGTAGTACGTACAAAAAATTTGTTAAGTCAATTTGCGCTCTTCTTACAGATTTCGCTCTTATGGAATACCTACTTTCTGCGAAGTATCCGTACAGAGTGGTATGGAGTCCAAAATATGAAGATATTTCTCCAGCTAGCAGCTATGGTAAGCATATCATTATCATCTTAGGATTCTCAAAAAATTAGTCTTACGAAGTCTTACTCTACGGATATTGCCCAAACTTTAGTGAAAATTTGTTTGATGTGTGCCCATACATGCATTCTATGATCTTACTTCTTGACATCTTGAAAAACGCGGGAAACGGAAGAATGTGACAGAGCTATGTTTTGTTTTTCTTTACTGCTCACACTCGTGTAAAAAGTTACAAATTCACAACGCGCATGCGCCATGTCCGCGTACGTCACACGGTGGCCATGTGATATCCGCCAGCCAATCGGTGTCAGTCGTTCGTGGTGTGCGGTCCAGCTGTCACGCACACCGACGCGCTTATCAACCATTTTTGACGTTCTCTTCGAACAAGTGTTTCAACTTCAGTGATTATTTCTAAAATCATTTTCTAATAAAAATTTCAATCTAAAATCGTTGTAAAATTAGTGTCGACCATTTATTTACTACTTTATATAACAGCGTGATATCGCGACGACCTGTGCGTTACAATTCTCGGAACCGTGCATGCTGCGATCGAGACGAGGACCTTGATAACTTGTTCCTCGGACGGACGAGCGACCAGACAGTTATTATAGGATCATGCCCATGGAGGTACGTCTTTAGTTTACATTTGTGAGGCAATCGTGTGTGCATTTTCATCGATTAAACCAAAGCGGAGTGAGGTTTGTGTGTGAGCTCCTACCCGTGATACAGTTTGGATATACAAAGTGAACCGGCCAGTGCCATGACGAAGTTAATATAAATGTGCGTCTCGATATTGTGTGCGGAAGGAACTTTGTGAGCCGTGAGCGCGGCGCGGTCGGTTAATTCGCGATGGACTTCGGTGGAGGTAAACAGTGTGAGAGTTCATGTTTCAGCCACAAGCACTCGTCGTCACATGCACGTTGCACTAAAAACTCGCCTGGAACGACACGCTGCATGGTGCCCGTCCAATTCCAGCCTCTTACTGCTTACATATGATAGCCAGTGCCCGCTCAAGTCTCATTCTAAAAATATCCAAAGCTGGCCGCACACTACTCATGGAAACTGTAGTTTTGCTTCTGATATCCTTTTGGTTACTGCAGTGTTCTTTAATTAGAATCCTTCCTTCTTTATGTAACATACATTGCACCGGTAACAATGTGGATCATAATTATGATAAGTAATATTAGCTGGTCTAATTTGGTGCTAACATTGCTCATATTGGTCGCCTGAAGTAGGTCATTACTTTAGTCTATGGTATTTGCATGAGTTTAAAAACTGGTCTCACTTTGCTTTCATTATTGTAATGTTTGCCAATTTATTTTGACTGCAATGTTTCAACTGTTGCACACTTATAATTTACGTATTTAAGTTATGTTTAACCTTTTCCACAGAGTACCTACAGATAAATTTCATAAATAGTGAAAACTATATCAAACAACAGATAATCTGTTCAAATGATGAATCATCGCATCATTTAGTGTAAAGTAACGGTCACTAAGTAAAATACTATGTCATTTCATTGAATTTATGTTTATTTACTTTTCAACATAGTAGCCAAACAATATTAGGTTTATATAATTAAGTTACGTAGATAACAAAATTTATATGCATTATACAAGTACCACAATTTTTTGAACTCTTGAATTGATTGTTGCATGAATAACTAGACATGTGCACATATTAATTAAAAGTTCATTAAATATAAATGAATAAATGCATCATGGACCATCTAGTATTTGAAAAGTAACAAGATTAGGTACAATTTCATAAAATCTATTTAAAATTATTTTAATTTTTATTATTGTAAGCCATTAATAAGCAACCTACCAACAAATGGACGTCGGGTCTAATACAAAAACCACAAAAAAGTGTCCAAAGTTAACCTATACGAACATGGTGACATTTAACGAAATCTAAAAAACTAATACATTTGATTTAAATTGTAACATCATAGCAGTTCTGCCTAATTTAGCTTGCAACAATTTAAGGGCCCAAAAATAAATACCACATTCAGCTTCTACTGAAAATTACTTAAACCCAAGAGTAATGGAGTAGCCTTTATTGTAAATATTAATTAATTTTTATATATATTATTATGTTGAATTTTGTACAAATTCACTTAAAGGACTAGTAAAGAGTTGAGAGAGGCAGATACATACACACAAATATTACTACAAATGTGAAAATAAAAGTGCTATAAGAAATATATCGATATTCCAACTAAACATAAACTCGAATGTTGTTACGCTTTCGAGTAATTTTAATGCTTTTCATAAAGACAAAATTAACTTTTGTTTTGTAATCTTCCTAAAAAAATACATTTGACATTATGAAAATTGGAGCTAAGGTTATTTCGGGCAAATGTATTTTCTGACTTCTAATAGGTAATCCCAAGCTGTAAAAAGAGTATAACAATATTTTATTAGTTATTGCTAACGTTTAATAGAAAAATCATTTTAAAAGTAATATTAAAATCAAAGTGACAGTATAGTTAGACAGTGGGTGTAAGTTGTGGTTGTCTATGTGTGTGTCCATGGCACCCGCGACACAGGGTTTCCCTAGTGCGGGGCTATGTTGAGTGTGTGTGTGTGCGTTATTATAGTTTCTTGGTTCTAAATATTTCAATCGCTTCTGGTTCGAACAATTGAAAACAACTAAGAACTTTATATAAGCTCCTTGAAATCGTCTTAATGGGTCTCTTTCCATCTTTTGCGCATTCAATGTGTAGAAAAAGAACAGTTAGCTATTTGATAATTTTGTGAGCTTTTGTAATTTATAATAAAATTCTCTATAAAACTGTACAAAATAACACTTTTAAATAAGAACTATGATAACACAACATATCTGTTTAGTTAAAGTATGATACAAAATCCTGTTTTTACACTTTATTGCAGTAATATTTACAAGTTATTATTACATGGTACTACATGATTGACAACCGCGCTGTCAGTCGAACAAACGAAGACTGTTGCGCGATTTAACGCCCTACAGGTGCGGACACTTTTTAGCGCGAACCGACGTCCATTTATTGGTAGGTAAATGTTGTAAGCATTTAAATTTTCTTCTAATGTAGAAACATTTCAATTCTTAAAGGAAAAGTATTCCATTGCATAACAGGAATTCCCTAGACTTCACACAGGACTTTAAAGAACAATTTAAATTTTATTATTATAGCATTATAGCACATTAAGCTACACAATGTTGTTCGAATATCACCTCCAGTGCAATGGAACAAAATCCGTCAATGTGTATTATGGCTTGATGTGCTTGTGTACATAAAATTAATCATATTTTAACTATAAAAATATATTATTTTGGTTACATTGGTTCAAGAATTAAGTAAAAGTAGGCAGATGTGCCTAATGTTATTTTTATTTACACTCCCCTGTAAGACCTATCAATTCAGATCAGTTCAGTGCGGGTACAGGAATCAGGAACTAGTTTCTTTGATCAAATTGAAAGAAAAATGTGGCTACAATGAATAAGGTCTTTCTAGAAAAACTTTGCACAGGACTGACAAGTGTTTACTAATTAGCAAGCAAGAAACTCTGAAATCTAATGAAAATTAAATAACAATGAGTCTTATATTATCAAATGCCAATAACCATCATGCAATGACACCGTGTCACAGTCCTGGTGTGCAATTAGCATATTTAGCGCAATGCAAAACAGTAAAAATTGTTTAGTGAAAGTTTTTAACTGTTTTCCTCATTGTAAACTGTTGTGTTAACACACAAATTAATTCTGTTGATTTCTAGTACGCTAAGGCTGATTGATTACAGAAATAACATCAATTTATGACACATTTCTTTGTGTGACATTATACTTAGAGATTGGTTGCAATTTTGTCACGTCCACATAATTATAATGCACTCTGTGTGTTCATCCAGACTATATGTCAAATTTCATTTAAATCTGTTCGAGTGATTCAGATTATGATATTATCCAAACACTAATATCTTTTTTTTTTGTGTAGCTGCACAACATTATTACTGTCAATATTGGTTCAACCAATGAAATGCATTATTAAAAGAAAGTGTTGCGATATGCATAGTAATTACTTGCTATTGTGACATTTTTTGTAACAGAATGTCTGAGGATATTCATGCCCAGTCAATGGCATGGATATGTTCTAAAATTGTACTTCATTATTAATCTGGTCTACAGATGTTTTTTTTTTTGCTTAACTAATTTACCTTACTGGTTGTTCTTCCATAATTTGTGCCAAAGTACAGCCAAGTAAAGTTTATGCAAGATTTACAGTTAAGAGCACGTCAAGCTTGACACTTTGTACTTTGGACCGTTCTTATCGTAAGCAGCATAGAGTTGGATTTAAATCTTAAGTGTCAAGCTTGACGTGCTCTTGACCCTGTACCATACTGTAGCTATGTTAAATACTACTAATATAAAGTATAATGCATTTTTAATGAGTTATTTTAATAGGCAATCACATAAAGTATTCTACAGTTAGTCTAATAATATACATTTGATTTTTATTAGATACTACGCAATAAACCAGAAACTGACGATTAATATTCTTTTTTTTGGTACTGTTTTTTCCATTGGAAAAGGCAAAGGCATTAATGCACCATACAGCCAAGACTGAGAGACTCTTTCTTGTATTCCATTACAAGAATTAAATGTCTTCGATTGTGCTTCTTACGAAATAATATAAAATTGGATAACTATCTCGATTTTTCAGGAGATCTGGTAAAGAAAGCGGGATGTTTTCAGGGGTTTTGTATTTATAAATCATAGTAAGGCTTTGGATACTTGGATATTAGTACTGTTAAAGTGTTATCGTGACGTGGGCCGCGGTCAGCTACTGACCTCGACCGCGTACCTATATCAGAATCACACTAACCTCTGTTTGGAATATGTTTTGTTTACCTATAGTTTTAATCGAAGGTGAAATCGCCTGTCTCACTTTTGAAATAGATCTATGTCTCTACGAAGTACGCGATGTCTTTCAAAATGAAATTATATACCGTATACAAAATGAAATTACTACAATAATTTAACAAATCATACCGTTTACATTTTTTCCTTTTATATCGACAAAAGCATGACAGATCTGTACGGACGAGCTTAGCTTAGAGGAGGGAAAAAAATACTTGGAGGTGGCCGCGTTGACAGCTTAGTTCAGTAAGCATTGTTGCTCTGAGGAATAAACGATACTACATACAAAGTAGGACCTGTAATATTGGTTAGCGTATATTTTAAAATAAGAACTGTCACACCTATGAGCGAGATCAAAGTAAACAATATTATCTCTCGCCTCTTTAAAAAAGACTTTAAAAAATTGAGGAGGCAATCAAAGCGACCTTGGCCGTATAATATTATTAGCGTCCACGGAAAGTGTCAAAGACGAAACAAGAATGCGGTATGACCGTCGTTGGTTGTTTCTTTGAAGTAACAGTTTTTTGTACAGTCAAGAGCACATCAAGCTTGACACTTTGGACCGTTCTTATCGTAAGCGGCATAGAGTAGGATTTAAGTCTAAAGTGTAAAGCTTGACGTGCTCTTGACTCTGTACATACTAATATCTGTTACCTATCGAATTAAATGATGTTGTATGTTATATTTTTATTGTAATTCCGCATTTCTTTCTTTTATACTTTGAAAAAATTATGTCCTTCCAAGTACCTATTATATTTGCATAATTGACAGCAGTTAAGAAACTGGATTGTTAAAATTCGTTTTTTTGGGTATTTGTAGAAGTACAGCCTAAACTAAATTAACAATGACGATCTACTTGTCATTAATTCATTATAATGCAAAAGATGCGACGTCGTTCTTGAAATAATTAGCTGGTCACATTATCATTATCACAGAGTTATGCATAGTTAGTTCAGTTATTAAATC